ATTCAATTATTGTTCAGAAAGTTAATGCTCCAGAACTCCTTCAAAATTTTTCTTTAAAAAATCCACGAATATTTCTTAAGAAGTCTGTCAAAAAATATTCTTTAAAAAATCTATTGCTTCTCAGGAATTCCTTAAAAAATATTCTTTAAGATATTTTGAAGAAAATACTTCGAAATAATTATTTTTAAAAAAAACATGCTTATTGCTCAAGAAGTCCTGCAAAATTTTTATTTTAAAAAATCATGCTTATTATTCAAGAAGTCCTGCAAAAAAATTATTTCAAAAATTCACCCTTATTGCTTAGGAAGTCCTTTCAAAAATATTCTTTAAAAAATACACGTTTATTGTTCTGATGGTCCTTCAAAATATTTTTTTTTAAATCCTCAAAATAATTATTTAAAAAATCCATGTTTAATGCTATAGAAGCCCTTCAAAATAATTATTTAAAAATCCACGATTATTTCTCTGAAGGTACTTCAAAATAATTATTTAAGAAATCCACGCTTATGGCTGTAATAGTCCCTCAAAATAATAATTTAAAAAATCCACGTTAATTGCTCTGAACGTCCCTCCAAATAGTTATTTAAAAAATCCACGTTTATTGTTCTGAAAGTCCCTCAAAAAATTATTTAAAAAACCACGATTATTGAAGATCCTTTCAAAAATATTCTTTAAAAATCCATGCCTATTGTTCAAAACGAACTTTTTAAAATATTCTTTAAAAAATCCACATTTATTGTTCTAGAAGTCCTTCAAAAAAATTGTTCTTTAAAAATCAACGCTTATGACTCAGGAAGTCCTTCAAAAAATATTCCTTAAAAATCAACGCTTATTGCTCATTTAAAAATTCACATTGGTCCTTTAAATAATCCACATTGGTTACCCCCAGATATCGGTGATCTTAAATTAACAAAACTAATTTTTACATCGTTTTGCTGTGACTCTGCAAAGTGTCACATTGCGGCTCCCCTTGGTGCATCATGTCCGCCACCATAACATGAACATTAAGTCAATTGATTTACGTTAAATGTTCAGAGCTCAGCATGGTAGGCCATTAAGTGACATCAAAAAACACTTGGACACGTACACAGGATACACAGGAGTAGAATATAATTTAACTAATGGTGGTCACAGGCCACAGGCAAACTCCAGAGAATAAAGAAACAAAAACTAGGAAAACTAAATCTGCAAGTACTTTGAAATCCACAATGACCTCAAAAGAATAAGAAAAAAAATCTCAAGTTGTGCCATGCAACAACAAAGGCAAAAAATATGGAATAACTTTAAATGTGGCCTAGCACCAGAATCCTTAGCTTTATGGGAGAGCAAAAACAGAAAGGAAGTGGCAAGAAAGAAAAGCGAATAGCGAAGATGAAGCAAAAGCAAACCTGGGGGAAAAATCTATATCAGCTGTATATTTGCTATGAACTTTGACATTTACTGAAGCTTCGTTGTTACACATACACACACACAGAAACTCACAGCAAAGAAAGGTGCGGTAAAAAAAGAGGGCAAACGAATTTCAACAAAACACAATCTCTAAGAATTTTTGTGGTTTAAATAAATCCTTTAATGAACTTTTCGAATATTTTAATTAAAAGCATAAAAATAAGGATTTTATTTCCTCAAAAAAAAAAAAATATTTTTATTATCTGAAAATAGGAAAAAATCCAAATTTCCCCTTTTCAATTTATTTTGTGAAACCCCAAAAAGAGGAACGTAAGGACCTGCGCATTGGCATTTTGTGGATATATTGGAAAAAATTTTCCCTCCTTCCTCACACCTTTCAACATAACGAAAAGAAATCTCTTATATAAACTTACTAATGCGTGAGACTTATACATACCCAGAAAAAACAACAACAGCGACACGAAACCACCAACCAGCCAGCAAATTTCGATGGCTTTGTTGTAGGTCCTGTTTTTTTTCGGCTGCCAGCCTTCTGGCATTTATGGTGTGATGATTGTGTATGTATATGTGGTCTTTGGTTGTTTGTTCCTTTTGCCCCTTCTAGAAATTACGTCACATGTTTGAGGATTTTTTGTGGGCTTTGTTCCTTTTTTTCTGTTGTTGTTGTTGTTGGACAAACAACAATGTTGCCCCACTCTAATCGTGTTAATATATGTTCATCATTGGATTATATCCAACGTTTTTTGTTGTTGCTGTTGTTGTTATTAGTAACTGTTATAAATCAACTCGAACTTGTCATTGAATATCCTTGTCAGAAAAAAATTGGAAAGAGGATATTTATTTTGATTATATTTTTGGAGAGTTTCAGAATTAAATTTGAAAAAATGGAAGACATTAAAATCTATAGAAGTACTACAAAAATATTATTTTAAAAAATCCTATAAAAGTCTTTAAAAATAAGTATTAAAAAATCCTAGGTTATTACTCCGAAAGTCCTTCAAAAATATTCTTAAAAAAATCCTAGATTATTACTCAGAAAGTCCTTCAAAAATATTCTTAAAAAATCCACGCCTATTGCTCAGAAAGTCATTCAAAATATTCTTAAAGAAATCCACGCCTATTGCTCAGAAAGTCATTCAAAAATATTCTTTAAAAAATCAACGCCTATTGCTCAGAAAGTCATTCAAAAATATTCTTAAAAAATACAAGTCTATTGCTCAGAAAGTCCTTCAAAAATATTATTTTAAAAATCCACGCCTATGGCTCTGGAAGTCATTCAAAAATATTCTTTTGAAAATCCACGCCTATTGCTCAGAAAGTCATTCAAAAATATTATTTTGAAAATCCGCGCCTATTTCTCAGAAAGTCCTTCTAAATAATTATTAAAAAACACGCTTATTGGTTGGGAAGTCCTTCAAAATAATTATTTAATATTTATTGACCTAGAAGTCCTTTAAAAATCCACGCTTATTCACCCAGAAATCCTTTAAAAAAATATTATAAAAATCCCTCCATGCTTATTATGTTTCTCTTCTCTCATATGAGCTTCTAATCACTAAATAGCCCTTAATTTATTTTTAATTAATTATTAATTGCCTAACAATCTATCTCTCCATTACCCCAACCACCTTTAGGGTACCCGAAGGGCAACAATATTTGCCTAACAAAGTGATTGTTAATCAGACCTTTCTGTGCCTTTCACAAACCTGCGCTCCCCTCCTTCACCTTATTGAACAACAAAATAAGGACATTTTTTGTTTAGATATAATGGCTAAATGGCTAGGCAAACTCACACACACACATCTATCAAATGACAATAAGGGCACTCACACACAAACACATTTACGAAAAGACAATTTCCTGCACGAAATGACCTTTCAATCACTCTTAATTACATTGACATATATATGAAAGGCCTGATATATATGTAAAACATATACCAACATAGACGGATGGGCACACACATATACCCTTATCCATTTATAAGGATTAATATTGACATGTTTGTGTATGTGTTTGGAATTTATATGGAAAACCATACGCTTCTATTTGTAAATTGAAATGTTAAAAAAGTCCTTAGCCCAAAAAAATAAACAAAAAATGAAAGTGGAAATAAACGTCAATATATCCTAACTGACAAGGGTCCGTTTTTTATAGGCATGAAGCAATAAAATGATATCAAAAATGTTATGTATGGGAAATGGCATGTGTGCCGAAGAGAAAGGAGGGACCGAATACACCATGTTTTTTTACTTTCATTTCTGTTTGCCAAGAGTCATTAATCAGAGCCACATCATCACAAAGTTTGTTGACGCCATTGTTTGACAGTACAATTGTTTTGGTAAGGGGACAAAGCAGGTAAGTTACATTTTTCAAAAACAATTATTTAAAAGATCCACGCTTATCGGTCCAAAAGCTCTTCAAAAAATTATTTTAAAAATCAACGCTTATTGGTCTTAAGCCCTTCAAACAAATTAAAATCCATGTTTATTGGTCTATAAGCCCTTAAAAAAATATATTTAAAAAATCCACGCTTATTGGTCTAAAAGCCCTTCAAAAAAATTATTTAAAAAATCCAAGTTTATTTGCCTATGAGTCCTTCAAAATAATTATTAAAAAAATCACGTTTATTGGTCTATAAATCCTTCAAAATAATTATTTTGAAAATCCACGCTTATTGGTCTAAAAGTCCTTCAAGGTCCCTCAAAATAATTACTTAAAAACCAAACGCTTACTGCCTTAAAAGTCCTTCGAAATAATTAGAAGCCATTTCAAAATAAATATTTATAGCTCTGACAGTCCTTAAAAATGATGTATATTATCTGAGAAGCTCTCATAGAATATTGCAAGAAATCCTTTAGTTAATCTTGCGCGCCACTTCCATCTTTTTATTCCTACCATCAATTTCCTTTCGAATGCAGAATTTTCCACTTTTGTAATTATAATTCGATTTAGCAGCAATATAAATATATTGACATTGGCTTACTACAAAATCGAGCTAAATTGCTATTCTTGCACCTTACACCCCAACCGGTAATCCTTCAAACCACCGCCATGAAGCCGCATTTAAATATTTAAAATCGCATTAAAAAATAATCTACGATGTTCTAAGCGAAAACGGGACAAAATAGAGAAAGCTAATAGCATATAGGATACAGCAACAACAGCAAAAAAATAAAAATAAGCTCAAGATTTGCTATTCAAATGCTAAAGCAACATCTTCACAATACCCAGACCGCCCAGGCCACGGGGGTTGGGTGTTTAAAAGAGATAAAGTTAAAATGTTAATTAAATTGCGAAATAAACATGAATCGAGTGGAGGGATAACTAAAGTGAGAGGGGAGAACGTGTTTGGCTTAAAATAACCTAATGCCTACGGTGTAATTTGTTATGATATTTAATTAATTCAGTTACGTTCAGCATTTTTATTTCTTTTTTTTCTTATTTCTTAATGACATTGGCATCAGCAAAAAATAGAAAATGATAAATAAATAAAATTATCATAATTTTGAATTTAAATACCTAAATATATGACTGTCATAATTAATTACATATTTCTTCTTCTTCTCTCATTTCTCTTCTATTTATAGCGAAAATTCTGATATTTTATGTTATATTCTATGCGGCATTAACTGGATTCTTTGCTGCCATGTTAGCTGTATTTTATCAAACTTTGGAAGTAGACAAACCCAAATGGACACTGGATAATGGTTTAATCGGATCAAATCCTGGTAAGTAAATAAAAACTTTTTACAATAATATTAGTATTAATATAATTAATATTAGTATTAATATAATAACGTTGGGCGCCATAATTTCCTTCGAATTTATTTATTAAATGTAGACACACACCTTTATGAACCTTTGACGCCAAAGCGTTACTTCGACCACATTTTTTTTATTTACTTTATTTATTTTTTTGGCGAAAGCAATTTAATTAGCTAATTGGATTTTTGGTTTCAAACATTTGGGTTAGTTAAATGGCTAAATCCTATAAACATTTCACTTTGATTAAGTGTATGTCTTTATCATGCAATTGTTCGAATGCCATTAATGTGTTTGCGTGTACCTCAGTTTTGAAAATGAAATTAAAGATTTTATTATTGGATTTTTGGGTATGATATAATACGTTTTGATACGTTGGGCGCCAAAATGTGGTGGAGTAGTTAATAAATATATAAGCATACAGATATTGGCCCCAATATGAGACGGAAGTCACCCAACATGACTTATTTGAAAATCATCACTCATAAAAAGTCCATGCAGCCACTGTGTAATATATATATTATTTGTACATAGAATGTCATTTTTTAAAATCATATTCAAAAAGTAGTTTTTGTCAAAATTTCATCCGCCTCTCGGACACTTTAGAGAGGAAATTTTGGTGAAGTTGTTCTCAGATAATATTAAATACTTTTAAGATGTTGGGCGCCAAACCAAAATAAGTGTCTTATAGCTCCAAAAGTATCTGAAGTAGTCCTATATATTTTTTTAAATCAAAACTGAACTCCACAACCTGATTTTTTTTGAAATCATCAATCATAAAAAACCCATGCTTAAAAAACGTTGGGCGCCACTGTGTGATATATACGTTACATGTACATAGAATATGATGGATTAATACCATGGTCAGGAAGTAATTTTCCATAAGTGAATTTTCCTAAACTTTACAGAGGAACTTTTGGTTAAGTTGTTCTCAGATAATATTAAATATTTTGGGATGTTAGGGGCCAAACTAAAATGTGAGCCTTATAGTTCCAAAAGTCTCTCAAGAAGCCCTATGTGTTTCTGTTGGATTCGTCGCAATTTCACAGAAGACGTATTGATGAGTTCAATATTTAATATTTCTTCTTTAAAGCGCCGTAGGAATTGCTACAGTTTAGGTTATGTAAGGATGACAATGTCAGAAGTGGAATGTTTTGTGTTATAGGAAGGCATATAAAAATAAACTAAGTGATTTCTCTGATTATCGCATAAAGGACCATATTGCGGTGTGATAGAAGAGGTTAAATTCTGATTTTCTACACCTTAAAGAAGATTTGTTGTTGCAACACACACACACAATTGACTGAGGTGACAGACCGTGGTCGAGTAAGACTACGGTCGTTTCGGATCGTACACCCCACCCCTTTAATAAAAGTGGGATTAGTCTGTGTCTGGTAGAAGTGTTTTACATGCATAGGTATACTTGTTATTTTGCAACCCAGAACTAAAATTGTGAATATTTGGTTGAAAAATAAATGTTATTTACGTTGGGCGCCATATTTGCATTATATAATGTTGGGCGCCATTTTTTATAAATAATATTTGTGACATCAACGTTTTTTTATTATTTAAACGTCGAGGTAGGAAATTGTGTAGCGTGTCCATTCACATTTGTAATTAAAAGTGAGGTGCGAAGTATTCACGTTGGGCGCCAAATTACAAATTTAATCGATGCTTTAAGTATTTTGCAATTGGGATCTATATTTGGTTATTTATATGAATTGCGATTATGTGGGCGTCAAACTACAAATTTAATCGATGATTTAAGTATTTTGCAATTGGGATCTATATTTGGTTACCAGATGAATTGCGATTATGTTAGGCGCCAGCATTAGTTCGAAGATTATTTGTATTTTCGGAAATCTAATTCATATGTAAATGTCACGTGGGGGCATATTTTATATTTGCTAATTGTGATATTTATATTTTTTATTTTGTTTTTTTTTTTAAAGTCCTTACTAATTGCTGTTCTTTAATTTGTTTTTCCTTTACAGGTCTTGGTTTTCGGCCAATGCCCCCAGAGGTCAATGTCGAAAGTACTTTAGTGTGGTATGAATCCTCCAGGCCTGACAACTACAAATACTGGGTTGAGGAAACTGCCAGATTTTTAAAAGGTAAGCGCAAGTCCTACACACCGCCCGTCCTTCCTTTACATTCCAGGGTCCATAATGTGTTAACAACTATCGACATGTTTTTGGTATTGATTTTTTTCTTTGATTTGATTTTGTGGGGAAAATTAATTTTGAAAATTTAATTTTGTTTTATTTTTAAATTTGAATTTTTGTTCCGATGAAAGCGGTTTCATTTAGTAAGTATAATGAAAATGAATACAACATTTTTTTGAAAGTAATTGTCTAGAAGAAATGGAGAGCATTTAATGAAAATACCTAACCAAGAAGTAATATCATGCTCGTCGAATTCCTACCCTTTTGAAAGCCTAAAATTATGCTATACTTTTTATATAAAATTAAATTTGGGATATTTTTGATTTCACATTTTTTGTATGATTTTGATTTTATACTTTTTTACTAGTATTTAAAAAAATATATATATTTTAAATATCAGTTACTAATTTTATTTGTCCGTCCTCCCTGGGAAAACACTTTAGCCTATGATGATTTACCCAAAGGCAACCAAGTAAACTGCTCATTTGAAAATCCACCACCACCTGGCAAAGTTTGTGGCATTGATCGTGCTCAATTTGCTCCCTGCACTGAGGAAAATAACTTTGGCTACAATCTTGCCAGACCCTGTATATTCCTCAAGTTGAACAAGGTATGTGTAACTGAATCTAGATAATAAATTTGTGTATGGCTAATGCTAATGCTTGCTTTTTCTTATAGATCTACAACTGGGTTCCTGAAATTTACAACGACACAAAGACAGTACCCGAACACATGCCAGCTGAGTTGAAACGACACATCACAGAAAAGAATAGTTTGAGACCACATGAGGTAAGTTTTTTGGGCAGGAAAGTCGACCTCTGAGACTTTTTAGGATAGATTTACAGATTTTTCATCCCAAAAAAATTTAATTTAAAATTTGTAATTCTCTCCAAATAAATCCAGCCGTTCAAAAATGGGGTCTTGAAACAATGACCCTTAATCTAATATTTTTTTTAATTTATTTCTAATAATTATTATTTCAATTTATTTATTTTTTATTACAGACCAACGTTGTCTGGGTATCCTGCGAAGGTGAAAATCCTGCTGATGTTGAAAATATTAAAGCCCGTGACTATTATCCACGCATGGGTTTCCCATGGTTCTATTTCCCATTCAAAAATATTGAAGGTTATGTACCACCCATTGTTGCTGTGCAATTTACTGTCGAAAGTAAGTATTGACATACATTTATTTACTGATTCATAAAATTAGATTTTGAAAATTGTGGGGACCCGAAATTGAAATTGAGTAAACAATTATTTATTGGCGAGTAGACAACCTATCAAGGCTTTCAGATTACTTTTTTAAATGATACCTTTGTTAAGTTTACGTTGCTCTAAATATCCGCATCACGATGCCAATTCAAATATTAAGAATTACAGATAAAATCATGTTAGTTATTTTGATGATAGGACAAAAATTGGATGTTATGGTATGTAATGTGAACTATTTGTAACGTCTAACGTATTTTCCAATCAGGACTTGGGATTTTGAAATATAATATTTAATTTTCTCGTTGGGGGCCAACTATTTGAAGCATCAAATTCTTTGATACTTCTAATAATAATCCAAGGTAGAAACTGTGAAGTGATATATTTCATCCCAATATTATATTAATATATGTCTAATTTTTTATGTTGGGCGCCATATTATTAAAAGTATAAACTCTATTCCTCCAAAACTATTCTCAAAAATCAAAACCTATACTCGCCCTTAAAATGCAGACCTATATTTATAATTATTTATGTTGGGCGCCATATTATTAAAAGCATAAGTTCCAGTTCTTCTAAAACTATTCTCGAAAATTTAAGCCTATAATTAAAATTCAGGCCTACATTCTAAATTCTTTGATAAAAATTATGTTTATTTAGTTTTAATATGGAAGCTAAAATACGTTAGATTTTTATTCTGAAAATGTCCGAGATATGTGAACTGCTTGTAATGTCTAAAATTTTTATATTTTCCAATAAAGACTGACGATTTTGAAGTATAGCATTTCACTTTTTACGTTGGGCGCCAACTATTTGAAATATCAACAAAATCCAAGGTGAAAACTTTGGAGTGATATATTTCATGCCAATATTAAATTTATAGGTCCTTAATTAATTATGTTGGGAGCCATATTATAAAAAAGTATAAGTTCTAGTCCTTTTTAAACTATTTTAAACCAGTGAGCGGAGCAGTATAGTCGGACGGAGCCGACCATATGATACCCTACACAACTTCGACGAAAATCTAACTTTCTTTGGTTCTATATTCTGAGCATGGACACTATTTCGCGATATTTGCACCCTCCCTTCACCGTGGGTTGTGTTGTGATGTTCGGACTATACACCGACTCGAAAACACACAAAAAATTAAGTTTTCGGTCCACTTCATCCCAAAATTATTATCTCATCATCGCCGAAAATTATAGGCGTTGTCCTTGACCATAACTGGAACCTCATGGAACCTATCAAAGCAATCAGCTCTATATCTCCGCCCTCCAGTGTGGTAATGGTTTACTAAATAATATCTAAATACGTATGCATCTGAAAATATGTACGTGCAACTCCGTCATCCGAGTACATACGACAATATATTTGGTATCAATTTAAAGGCCAAACTCTCCTCTTGGATATATTATCAACTTCTCGGGTCTATGTCCTTCAGGAGTAAATATATACGCTATATAATACAAATTTTGTAATTTTTCACACAAAAGTCAGGGTCCATTTGACACGCTAAATATTGACCGATCTTTATCAAAACAGGCATGCTTATTCTTTGGCCCGATCCCCTTCTCCATGTAAAATTTCGCGATGTTCGGGCTATAATTGCGGCCTCTGGAGCGACCAGAAAAACCGACAAAAATTTAGTATTTGGTCCATTTCATCCCCTACATATTAAGCGATCTCCAGCAAAAACAACAGGGGTCTTCATTGGCCAGAACCCAACCTACATGCAAAATTTCGTGAAGATTGGTCCATAACTGTGGCCTGTATCGTGTTTACAAATTATAATGGACAGACGGACGGACGGACACACATGTCTAGATCGACTCAGCTAGTCGAGATATGACGATCGGTATACATAAAGGTGGGTCTAGGACCAATATTTCGCGGTGTTACAAACTTTTGGGGCTGCACAAAGCTATAATACCCTGACAACATAGTTGTGTACGGTATAAAAATTGAAGCCTATAATCGGTCTTCCTTAAATGCAGGCCTATGTTTCTAATTTTCTGACAAGAATCGTATTTTTACGTTGGGGGCTAACTATTTGGTATTTTGAAATTCAAGTTGAAAATTTTGGAGTTATGTATTTAATGTTAATATTAAATTTACAGATGCTTTGTAATTTATTATTAAACAAATAAGTTCTAGTCCTTCTTAACCTATTCACAAAAATTTTAGCACAAGATTTTCTTACCAAAGTAAAAATGCTTGAAAATATATTTTTCTTAGCTTTGAGGTGAGCGTTAAGATTTGATTCCAAGCCAAAGATCCGAAATTCGCGTCGAGAATGAATCTCGTCGATAATACTCCTGCGAGGTGGAAACCAAATCGAGTATATTCTATTTTACTATGTGACTCGAATAATAAGTAGCGCATTACACTTCAACCGTTTTCGAGTGCACCGTTACCGAATCTTTCATTCCAATATTTAATTTATTAGTGCACACCTTTATGTTGGGCGCCAGTTTATTAGAAATGTGATAAAAAAAGTGTCATATTGCGATTATTCCAAAAAGACACGCATGAACCTCATAGAATAGATTTTCAAAAAAAAAAATCCTTGCTTCTTAAAAACTTTAAAAAATCATTTTAAAAGATCCATGCTTTGACTGGTTTTGGAAAAAAAATATTTTAAAATGACCTTGCTTTGTACATATAAGCTTCTACAATGAGCCCAAAAAATCGATCGAAACCTTGAATAAGCCTGAACCATATTCTTAATAAATTGATGGTTCGAGTGGGAGCTAAATAGGCTCGAAGCATGAAAAATTTAATAAATGTAAAATATTCTTTGTTTTCAAGTTGGCCGCCGATTTTTTTTATATTTTATGACATTTACGATTGTGTATACTTAGTAGTCCAGGACGAATGTTATATGGTAGAATCTTTCATGCCTATATTTAATTGATTAGTGCACATCTATATGTTGGGCGCCATTTTATTACAAATGTGATAAAAAGTGTTAGTCATTCTGAAACTATTCGAAAAATTTGAATTTGATAGGACTTCGAACACATTTTTTTAAAAAATCCATGTTTGTAGTGGTCTTCAAAAATATGTATTAAAAAAGTCAACTTTTTGTTATTAAAATATTTTAAAAATGCAAACTTCTGAAATGTCTATGTATTTGTATGTCTATGTATTTTGATAAAAAAAAACTCTTCGTATAAGCCCAAAAAATATTCCAAAAAATTACTTCATCAATTCTTCTGATAGTCCTTTAAAAAAAAGATTTAAAAATATCTATCAGCCAACGAGCTAATACTGTTATTAGCCAACTTTATTATAAATTTGTGTCATCAGTAATGGGCATAGAGAATGTGAGATTTTCTTCCCCTTTGTAATGGTCATATTTGTTGGATTTTGTTTCCACCTACTTTTCGGTCAATTAATACATTACAATAAAATAGCAAATAAATAGTAATTATATACGATTAAGGGTGAAATAAAGTAAAAGGAAGAAGAAATTACAGAGGAAAATCAATATGTTCCATACTTTGGGGTTTATGATTATATATATCAGCCTGTGGGGGTATTACACTTATCCTGACTTTTGTATGCAATTTGGGTAATTCCGAATTTTCCAAGAAATTGACATTTTATGGGGAAGATATCTGAGATGATAGTTAATCTAAGACAAGAATAAATATTAAGGTCTGCCAATTGTAGACCACGATTCACAAATCGAATACATTTTTATCGACGATTTTACCATGTGTGGAGAAGGCACCAGAATATGTTAATTTAAGTTTGAAGGACATATTACTATATGTGCAAATTTGGGATAAAATCGGTTGTTCCCAGCCTGTTAGATTGGCAAAAAGGACAAATCGACTTCAAACAATCGGAAACAAATTTAGTCGAAAGAAACTTGTGGTCTACGAGAAATATTTCGATGAGACATACATTTTTGTCGTAGCAATGTGTATTTACCCTTATTAGTCATAAGGCTGATGGTATAAAAATATTACCGTTGGTAATAAATGTTTCATTCAAGAATTTTCTTTCAAATAACATGATTTTTCGCAAGATTAAATATTTAATTTAATTTATGTTTTTTTGTTTGCTTCATTTAAACGTTTTAATTCCGTTTTATGTTTGTATGTACTTTTTTACCTGATGGTGTTACGTATTGTATGCATGATGACATATTAACCTGATTCCTGGTACATACAAGCCACGAACGCCGACGTTCATAGCAAAAATAAAACCACACAAAAAACGAAGAAAATGCACATGGCTAAAAGTCAAATTTTAGCCGTAACAACCAACACCACCTCCAGTATCACCACCACCCTGTTTTGAACATTTTGATACAGTTGTTGTTGTTCTTCTTCTTTTTTATTTTATATAACAATTGTTTTCCGCTGAGTTCAACTTTTCTTTTTTTCTGGTATTTAACTACCACTTTAAATGGTTAAGTAGATGGAAGGCGGAAGGGGAGAGAGTGGAGTGGGCGTATGTATGGCTTTTCATATGATTTTGAGTTAACTCAGGAAATTGTTATTGTTTTTTTTTTTTGATGATTTCTGTGTTTCCTTTTCGACTTAAGTAGAGTGGAAGATTAATATGTTGTGTGTGTTTATTTTTTAGTTATTTATGCGAAAAATAAATGAAAACAATTTCCTAGCATTTATTTTAATTATTATAGTAATTTTCTTTTAGTACGGAATTATGGTTTCATTTTTAATAACCCATAAACCCAAAATCCTAGAAAATTATATTGTTTCCTATGTCATAGTTATTTGTTTTGCTTCTTTACTAAACATCGTTTTTGTTAATTGTATATAATTACCATTTATATTAACATATACATATTTCTATTTTTTGGTTAAATTTATTGGACCATTAATTGCCCGGAAAATAGGCGGAAACTAAAACTAAACTAAAAACAAATAATTTGGCCATTTCAAAGGCAAAGAGGAATCTCATTTGTCTATGCCTTCTAATGATAGCGAGGATTTATTGCAAAGTGGGCTAATAGCTATAAGTATCCATTAAGGGAGGATATGGCAAATAAATATGCATACACCACTACCACAATATTTTTTGAGCGACTGTAATATATATTTTGGGGTGTTGAGTATGCTCTTATTTAACGATATTTTTCAAGGAATATCGGAGCCATAGGCTTTTTAAGAAAAAAATCAACAATTATAAACTATTTATCAGAAATGGTAATAGTCTTGCAAATGGCGCCCAACATAGAAGAGTATGCTCCTTTTTAAGAACATTTATACAATAAATATCAAATCCCCAGCCTTGAATTTATTAGAAAAAAATAATTCAGTTTTTATTGACAAATTATAAAAGATAATAGTATTGGAAAATGGCGCCCAACGTAAAAGATTATGCTTCTGCCAATTCAATACTTCAATGGTGATAATTTTCGCTCGGGGCTGTCACAAATAGTCAAAGGCTATCAGAAATATATGCTTGATATTTTCAGAATAATTTTCCTAACTTATTCTACAATCTTACTTCACAAAGTATTGTATACCTTTTTTGCAGGCTACGTTTTCAGAGAATATCGAAGCGTTTAGTTTATTTTTACAATTTTCTTAATTTTTACACATATTTTGGGTTCAAATTAGAAATTTTTTCCAAAACATGGGTCTCGATTAGGTCCTCTTTAAACCATTTAAATCGCAGAGAACACACCTTAAACTATTCAAAATTAAATCTTTTCCGAAAGTTTGCTAACCGGTTTTCTCCCACCTCCCCCAATTTTACGTTATCTTTTATATCCTTCTGTTCAATAGCATTTGAACAGATGAACAAAGTTGAACAGAAATTTCATTATGACTCGAGGAAGTAGTGACAGGATGAATGAATAGAACAAAATGAAACTTTCACACCAAACCCCTTTCCGCTCCCCCTTTCTCTCTCGTTCTCTCGGTTGTCAGTGGGGTTTTTTCCAAATGTCCATTGCCATTGATTTCATTCGAATGGTGTCAACATATTTTTTGTAAACGCTTCTAAAACAAAATTGTACAAAAGGATTGGCTGTCTTTCTTCCTTTTTCCTCCTCATGCTGGTGCTCTTGTTCTTCTTTTATTGCTTTAAGCTAAGCTAAAGTGATGAACAGAAAAGATAGAACCCATAACAGGATATCCTTTAAAAAATGTTTTTACACAAAAAATTTTTACACATCAATAATGTTTTTATGTTTCGTTGTGATGGTGATAGTTGTTGTTGTTTTTTGGTTGTGGATTTTCAACTAACATAGGTTTACAATAGACATGTTTAGATAAGGACATTTTGGTTTTAAATTTCAGAAATTTATTTGAGAAAAAAATCAAATTTAATTTAAAAAAAATAAATTAAATTAGTCCTTCCAAAAACTTCACGCTTATGGACCAGTTAGCCCTTCCAAAAAATATTATTTAAAAAATCTACTCTTATGGACCGGTTAGTCCTTCCAAAAATAATCTTTAAAAATCTACGCTTATTGACCGGTCCAGGCCGGTATATTCTTTGAAAATCCACGCTCGTGGACCGGTCCGGTATATTCTTTGAAAATCCACGCTCGTGTACCGGTCCGGTATATTCTTTAAAAATCCACGCTTATGGACTGGTTAGCCTTTCAAAATATTCTATAAAATATACGCACATAAAACTGTTAGTCCTTCAAAAAAAAAAAAAAAAAAAAAATACTTTTAAAAAATCCACCCTTAGGGTTTTGATGGTTCTTCCAAAAATATTCTTTAAAAATCCACGCTTAGTGATCTGCTAGTCCTTGAAAAATATTCTTTAAAATCCACGCTTATGGACCGGCTAGTCTCGCAATTGATTTGAAAACCCTTAAAAATAATATTCAAAATCTTAACATAAAATGTGGCGCCCAACGTAGAAACTATATATGTTTATGTTATTTAAAAAACCCACTAGTATGCATATATCATTGAAAAAAATTGTATTCAATTCGTAATATAAAATTCGAAAAACTATATAGGTTCGTATATGTGATGAGGATCTCTATAGAGGTTCGCGCAGGTTGTGATGACCTCTATAAAGGTCCCTATAGGTGATAATGAGCTCCACAGAGGTCCGTATTGGTTGTGAGGAACTCTATATATGTGGTGAGAGCATCATCGGGGTTCGAGTTGCTCAACAGAGGTCCGTATAGGTTTTTAGGAGCTGTATAAAGGTTTTTATTGGTGGTGAGGAACTATACAGAGGTCCGTATAGGTTTTTAGGAGATCTATAAAGGTCTTTATTGGTGGTGAGGAGCTTTATAGAGATCCATATAGGTGCTTGGATGCTCTACAGAGTTTCGTAAGGTCGTGAGGAGCTCTATAAAGTTCTGTATAGGAGGTGAGGGGCCTATATAGGTCCATATAGGTTGTGGAGATAACTAAATTGGAGCGTATATGTGGTGAAGAGCTTTATACAGTTCCATATAGGTTGTAAGGAGCTGTATAGTGTGTATATAGGTTGTGTGGAGCTCTATAAAGGTTTGTATAGGTGGTGTATAGTTTCATGGAAGTACGTATGTATGGTGAGGAGCTCTACAGAAGTCCGTATAAGTAGTGAATCCGGGATAACTAAATAGCTCCATATAGGTGGTGAGAAGCTGTGTAGTGGTTCATATAGGGTGTGTGGATTTCTATAGCCGTTCGTAAAGGTGGTGAGGAGCTCTTCTGAGGCCAAAAAATGGATAGGGCTTTATAGAGGTCCACATCGGGGGTGAAGAGGTCCGTATAGGTTGTGCGGATCTCTGAATAGGAGCGTATAGGTGGCGAGAAGCTCTATAAAGATCCGTATATGTGGTGAGGAACTCAATAGAGATCCCAGTAGGTGATGAGTAGCTCCATAGAGGTCCGTATAGGTTGTGAACAGCTCTATAGAGGTCCGTTTAGGTGGTGGGGATCTCTTAATAGGTGGTGAGTTTCTCTATTATGGTCCGTATAGGAGGTGAGGAGCTCTATAGAGGTCCGTATTGGTTGTGAACAGCTCTATAGAGGTCCGTATAGGTTGTGAACAGCTCTATAGATGTATCTGTAGGTAGTGAGTAGCTTCAGGGAGGTCTGTAAGGAGCTCTATAAAGGTCCGTGTAGGATGTGCGGAGCTCTATAGATGTCCCTGTAGGAGGTGAGGATTTCTCTAGTGGTTCGTATAGGTGATGAAAAGCCCTATAGAAGTCCCTTCGGTTTGACTTGGGCATTTAACATAAAATTTAAATCTTCCCAAATTGTATCACTTTGATAGTTCTTTAAAAATATTCTTTAGTAAAGTAATGACCGGATTTCTCCCCTCCATTTCTTAAAAATAAATCACTTTATATTTAAATATCGATTTTTTACAATTCTTTTTCAACCATGAATACATAAATCAATATACATATGTGCACTTGTATGTGTGTCATCCATGTTTGACTGCAAAATAACTCACGCTGCTGTTCATCGTATTGAGGTTGAATAGTAAATTTTCTTTTTTTCTATCTGCCGTTTGTCTTTTTTCCACGAAAAAGTTGGTGGGTTAGGGGGAGGGAAAACTTTTAATATCACATGTCAACGGCGAAGTGTAATGGAATTTTGTTACTGTATGTGTACCAAAGAAAAAGAAACTACAACAAAAAAACTTTGTTAACTTATTTACATGGAAAGTAGTTTTGTGGCAACGAAAAAAAAAATTGGGATCATGATTTTGATTTCTTCCAGAAAATTTAAAATGTATATTTACACAAAATATTAATTTTCTCTTCTGTATTTTTTGTGCTCTTTCAGCTGGTGTCTTAATCAATATTGAATGCAAAGCCTGGGCTCGTAACATCCATCACGATCGTTCAGAAAGGAGAGGATCCGTCCACTTCGAGTTGATGGTTGATTAAGAACAAACAACAACTAATCAAGATAATCTGCAATTGCTACAGCAACAACAACAACAAAAACTGCATACAGAACAGCAACAAGAACAGCATAAAGAGCATCAGAAGCAGCAACAGCAGAATAGCAACAATGAAATAAATAATACTACAACAACATCAACCAGAACAACAAAAACAGCAGCAGCAGCAACAACAACAGCAAATATGGAAGGTTTTTAAGTAATACAAAAAAAGAAGAAAAAACACAAATAACAAAAAAAAAATTAGAACAAAAAACCAACTGTAAGAAATTTAAAACAAAAACAAAAAAATTCTAAACCCTAAACGCAAAGCATTATTTCAAATCCAAAAAATAATGCAACGAAAATAAATGGAATAAAATAATAATAAAAAACACACACACAGAAAAGATTACAGCAAAAACCAAAGATGCAAAACAAATAATAAAAAAACAACTATAAAAAATGAAAGAAAAAATTATAACAAAAAAACAAACAGACCTAAAATGATGAAAAAAAATATAAAAAATAGCAAAAAACTAAGTAAAATCTTTAGAAACTAATAACAACAACAAGAACAACAAACCAAGTTGAAATAAAAAAATACATGCTTAATTTTTGAGACAGATTTAAAAGTAAAAAAAAAGAAGAAGAGAAGAAACCACAAAACAATACAAACAAAAAAAATAATAAGAACAACATTTAGATTTATGTTTTATGATTTTTGTTCCTTTCATTAAAGAAAAAAGTTCATATTTTTCAATCTTTGTTAAGTTTATGTTTGAAAATTTCTAACAAAAGAAAACTACAATAACAATAAAAACCAAAACCCAAATCCCCACAATAGGAAAATTGGCTAAATTTGATAATTTATTTTTCATTATTCATTTCAAATGCTTTTTGTTTAAAATTTGATTCAGTATTAGTAAATGAAAAAACTGCTTTTCGTTCGTCATGCTTGAGGTGTGATTTTCTTTAAATTGTTTATCATTTGTTTCGTTTTCACTATAAATTATTGCTATTTTATTCATTACAAATTCAGTATAAGCTTCAAAGTCTAGATTTTAAAAGAAAATTTCAAAAAAAAAGAAAAACAAAAATTTAAAAGTTAAGATTAATTAAAAGGAAATATGTATTTACTTCAAAATAAGAATTGCAATGCCATTAACGCCATCTGTTATAAATATTTCACACTATTATGTATATGAGCTGATAGTAACTAAATAAAGCCGCTCTCTCTCATTCCATAAAAACAAAACCAACAACCAATGTTTATCATCTTACTCAAATGGTAGGGTTGCCGTTATGCTGCAAAAAGTAATTTTGCGAAGGGCTAAAATAATCTCCCTGTGATGCCAAACGAATCAGCTGATTGTCACAGAAAACTGTTCTAGAGATAAATTTGTTAGGATATTCAGTTCCTAATGAATACGAGAATGCTGTAAAAATGAAAAATTACAAAAATTGTATAAGCTTGGGAGGAAAAAATTGATAAAGATCAAAAATATATACTGAATTAAATAGGATGGAAAACTATGAACATCAACCTGTAGGAGGAATAAATGTCTTTAAAATTTTGTTGATTATAGATTTTTGGACTACAAAACTTCGTAAAATTTTAAAGATAAAAATGCATACTAAATTAAATAGGATGTAAAATTATGAAGATGATCCCAGTAGAAGAAATTTCCGTGATCAGTGACGCAACCAACTTTGGACTATATATCCATAGATATTTCGAATTTTTTGAATAACAATCCCCAGTCGAAATGACAACCGATTTCTTAGTAATAAACAAGAAAGAGAAATCAGCATAAATAAGAAAATAACCGTTCTTCAAAGGCTGGGGAGAATAGTTATGAAAAAATTATCAACAAAAACGTCCTCAACTAACAAAGATAACACCTTTGGGGCTTCCAATCCGCCTACATTACGTGCCCTTTATAAAAGCAAACTAACTCATAATGAATAAGAATAAATTTCGAAATGAAAATAAATCAATCCTCGGGTTAACAGAATCTTAAAAAGTTTCTTGAAGCTCGAATAATGGTGAATAAATCAATCCTCAGATTAATAAAACTTAAGAAGTTCTTGGAAGCTTGGGATGAAGATCGAATAATCAATACTATATTAATAGGATAATATCGAGACCTGTCATTGCATTGTATAAACGAACTACTTCGTAATCACAAAGGTTTGTTGAACTGATCCCGAGACTCTTAAAATATTGTTGAAAATTTAATAAAAAAGAATTATTCACGAAGAAGATCATAATGGTGAATACAAACCTCGGGATAGACAACCCTACTCATTGCGAGCTCGTTTGATAGATAAACCAATTCGTAATGTTTAGGGATTCCTATTATACTAAGTAATTTCGTGAAATTACTCGGAGAGTAATTCCGTTTTTTACGAAGTCCCCGAAATTCCTAGTCTTTGCGAGATCGTTCAATTAAGGAATCAGATCGTAATCACTTAGTAAAGTAAACTATTGGACCTCAGAAATTATACCGAAAATTGGGTGTGAAAATTCGTCTGCAACTTAAGGAATATTAAGTAACTGGAATAATGTGAACTGAACCTTATGAAATATATAGCGAAAAAACAAACTCATAGACAAATTCAACTTCGGAGACTAAAGTAACGATGGTAACAAATACGCAAAATTAATTGATCCTCATCAGTAAATGATGAGGAGTTAAAGTAAAAAATCTTTGCGACATAATAAAGTTTTACAATTCTCGAAATCATCGTTCTGGAAACATTTGCCTTTGGAACCGATGGAATTCCACAAAAGTTCTATAATTTTATTGAGTTTTAATTACAGAACTTTTGTGCCGTGGAATGAGCTAATGTATTTTTATTTCAGGAGGATTTTCCCACGAGCGGAGTTATATTACAACCTTGTAATAAATATGCACGGGAGTAAACTTTTTTTTTTGAAAATATTTCAGCGGTTTGTATTTTTCTCTTGAGCTTATGTGTCTTGGTTTCAGGAGGTTTTCACGCCAGCTGAGATATCCTAGAACCTAAAAAAAATCCCAGGAACAATGGAAACTACAAGAGAAATTCCAACCTTGACCTGGAAATAAGCACAGCAATATCAACGTATAGATCAAGGACTAATTGCTTTCAAGGACAGAGTAAATAAAACTTGAGAGGACATACTATGGCAAACCCACATTATCTGATTAGATTATGAAATTTCAGTTTCAATAAAAAAACATAGGGGGAAGAGCCGAGAACATATTCATCAGTTTCAAAATAAATTGAGAGATGACGCTATACAAATTCTATGTTGACAATATTTTAATAGTGTGAAAACAGATAGAAATCACAAAAAAATTACAATCAGCTGATCTTCGGTACGTGTTATGAAATAATAAAATGGAGTCTTTTTAGCAAATTCAAAAATAGAAATGATCAGAAGATCATTGTTCCTTCTTCTTGAAATAAAAATTTAGATTTTTATTAGAAATTTTAAAAATAAAAATGATCAACTGATCTTCGTTACTTCTTCTTCATGAAAAAATTCTTATTAGAAAATTTAATATAATTAATGAAGCTAATTAAAAAAATCACATCTCAAGCATGACAAAAATTAGCATTTTTAAAACAAAGTCGTTTTTTGTAAAAAAAATATATAAAAAATTATATCGAAAATCAGCACAGCGAAATTTTGTTGATACAGATTTGTAATAACTGTGTACTTAAAAAAAAACTAAAATAAAAAATTGGAAATTTTATGTAAAATTGGTATTCGAAGAAAAATACAATAACGGGATAACCCCATATTTCTGCATGCCTATTTTGTCATTAATTAATTTTCTTTAAAATTAATTTTTGGTTGGCAACAAAAATGCTGTTTTGGTTACAAACAAATCAATAAAACCAACTACAACAACTTTTGTTTGTTTAAATTTGTTATAAATTTAAGCAAGAAAACGAAACTTACCCCTCCTCCCTCCCTAAAACAACAACACATGAGAAGGAGATGAACAAAGAAAGAAAAAAACCTAATTACTTAATAACAGAAGATGAAAAACAAAACCAAGAAGAAGAAGATTTATAAAATATTGTAGATTTTTAAATATTTAAAGCATTATTTAGGAAATTTTCAAGTAAATAAATAATAATAATAAAATGAAAAAAGCTAAGGAGTCTAGAAAATAATGATGCATTAAAAAACCAAAAACAAAAAAAAACTAATCCTCTTTACTTAAAGCAAAAAAAAAAATAAAATAAAAAATAAGTAATTTATTATAAAAAAAAAGAACAAAAAAATAAGTTAAGTAAAGATAACTAAACAAAGTAAAAAAACAAAAACAGAGACAAATATACACACACATCTTGAGAAAAAAACAATAATAATAACAAGAAGAAATAAAACAAGTGAAGAGTACCGTTAAAAAAGAAATTGATCATAATTTACAATATAAATGTATATTTATTTAACAAACCAAACCAAAAAAGGAGACATGAAAATATTTCGTTGTTACAAAAAACCAAAACAAAATCAAATACAACCTTGTTTTTCTTCTTGTAAACAAACCAAATCCAAGACAACAACCAAAAATGCAACTCTGCTTAATAAGCTTTGGTTACACTGAACAAAAAACGAAAACCCAAAAAAATGAACAAAGTAAATAAAAAAATACACCCACCACTCTCTCAACACCACACAACTCACACACACTCACTCTTCTCTCTATCTCTTTCTCTGTAACTCTTCTCACATAAACTGCTGTAAAACTTTATCAACAAAAAAAGAGTAAAGAGAACAAAACCAAACAAATCTTCATTCTGTTTTTTGCAATTCAATGAAAAAAACTATATGTGTTCCCAAAAACAAAAAAACCAAACAAATTAAGTAAAGTAAAATAACATAATAATAAAAACTAAGTAATGAAAACCAACAACAAATAAAATAACAAAAACCCAAAAACCACTATTTGTTTTTTGTTGTGTTTGATTTAAGAATAAATTCCAAATAATTTAAATTTGTTTTCCATTCAAAATAAAATTTAGTTGTTAGTCAAACAGTTTCCTCTCTGCCTCCCTCTCTCTCTCTATCGCGAAGCCATTTATGTTTTTAGTCCTAATGAGTATGTTCTTTCTTTTTCTCATCCCCTCTCTTCTTTTTTCAATTTTCAAAAGAACAACTGGAGAGTATTATTAGAGAAAAAAGGTAAAAAATATTATAAATAAATGAATAAAAATTAATTTAAAAACTTATATAAATCATTTTTTTAAAGAACTTGTACACTGCTATAGCTCAACGCTAAAAGGGATTTCGATGAAAATATGTTTTCATTCGTAAATGTTGCGAAAAAACGTGTTTTTAGGTACACTGAAAAAAATCATGTGGAAATGGTAAATATT